AGTTGCAGCAGCGTGGCCAGCTTCGTCTTGCGTACGTGGCCACTAGGGCCAACACTGCTGATGTATTCACCAAGGCACTTCCGCCTGGTGATCATCAGCGCTTCTCTAGTGTGTTAGATCTTGTGCCTACTTTGCCTCACTTGCTCACTGCGTGACTTTGTTTGTACTGTGATCTATATATATACCTGCATACTTACACTTGCTAGGGTATGATCACTGTCTTGTTTGTTCTCTTTTATATAACACTGCATGTGAACTGGCCTTGTAGCCCCTTGTTTGTGCTCGAACTGTGTGGTGACTTTGTGATCCACCCTGAGCTTGCGTTATTTTTCTTGACTGGTCTTGTGACCACTTGTTCTCACCCACTTTGCCTATGGGGGTGTGTCAGAATGTTATAGTGCTTACGTTTGTGTAGGCTATAGTGGGGTAGCCCATAAGGGGTACAACCCAATTAGGGTTAGTACTTGTACCCAACTGTTTCATAGTTCATTCATTCTTCTGACAAATCTTGATCGTCGTTACTGCAACTGGCGTTGATGTCGCTCGCTTCCTGTCTTCCTCTTCGAAGTCACGTATGAGTGCGTCCAACAGGTTGCTCACCGCTTGATTGTTGCCCTTGCCTTCGTCATCGGGCGACTCCTGGCGTGCTTCACCTCGCGTCTGGCGTAGCTCGGCGTTTTCTCCACGTAAAGTTGTCACTTCCACCATTAATGACTTCATGCCCTCCTGCATTTCTGCCACTTGCGCCATGAGTCTGTTAACCGCCTCCTGGTCCATGTGTCTAGCACTGCGTCGGGTGGGCAAGCGGGTCTCCGTGGCCTTCAAGCGAAATGGAAAACACGAACTATCGGAGTCGGGCAGGTTTGAATTAACAAACCCTGCGGCCAACCGTCGTGTAATCTACTTATACCAGCCACACCCGTGCCACCAAACTACCCTCGAAAAGCGGGGTGAACTAGGAAAGTAGCCCTGATACCAGGTGTTATGAGTTGTAAAGGAGAGTGCGCAGAATAACGAATAACAAGAATGTGATTGAACAGACTGATCATACAATGAAGGCACACGCTAATGTAGTGGCTAGCCTCGCTAGGAGGGAACTTCGGGTGAGTGAGGTTGGGTGCAGGTTTGGCGAAGGGAAACGCCGAAGGCGACGCGAGGAGGCTCGGCATCATTGATGTCAGCCAAACGTGCAGAGTCCGAAAATCGGGGCTGTACGCGAAGCAGTCAACCCCGATAAGGAATTAGGGAAAATTCCTTACACTTTGGGCCAGGTTGTTACAATAGCAACGTTTTGAGACTATGCATATTGTTATGAGTTGTGAAAGTGAGTGAGCGGACTGGAATAGCTAATGACCATATTATAGATTTGTCATAAAAACGGAAACTAGACAAGATATAGTGAGGGACCTTAGATAGGTAGGGACCTCAGAAGGCGCTGAGTGTGGGTTATATATGTATCGCTAGGTCATTTTTTCAGGGGACTTCTATACAATGTCATTCGGAGCCTTCATTAACGAGATCCTAGATCCCACCGCGAGCCATCTCATCCATCTCATCCATTCGCATCCATTCGATCCATTCGCATCCATTGGCTAGGCAACCGACCTAGCCAGAGCTAGACGATTCATCCGTTGGTCCAGCACGATCATCACAGATACCAACATACGCACTGCCTGCCGTCCACCAATTCGTGAGAATGCCTAGCGACTTTGTGCAACTATCGGTCTTGTCAGAGGTCCACTGGTGATCCCCGATTGATCCTAGGGAAGGGTTACAGGCATGTTGGCCTGGGGGATTATGGGCGCACTGACCCGCTACTTAACACGCCCTTTTATCCCAATGGTCTAGTGGTTGGGATTCTGACAGGTCTTATCGCCAGCCCATCGCACAGATCTCGATGAGGACATTCCGGGAGTCCGTCAGCCACAAGCCCCACCACCGCGCTTCTCCCAAGCAGATCGTGTGGTCCCAATCAGGCCTGTCGATTCACAGACATTTGTCCGTTTTCCCTGAGAATTCAGGGTTGGTTTCAGCGCAGCTCATAGTTTTTCAGGGTTGGTTTTCCCCTTATGCCGGATTGCTAACGGGCAGGTTTTGGGCCTTCCCTGGATTTCCCACATACATGCCCCCTCCCCCCCCACCCGACTTCCCCCTCATTCACCTTGACGGTGTACGTCCCCTCTCTCCACCTACCCAGCAACACTTTCCCCACCTCCCCTATCTTGTGTGCACTGCTCAGTAGAGTAGGCCAGCTATATTATAATACATAAGTTCGAAATTTCAGGGCCAGGTTGGGCTGCTTCCCGGACGTTTCAAGGCTTGTTTCGAACCAGCTCAGCTTCTTACGGGCAAGGCTGATTGGTCCCAATGCACTGTAGCATGACTGGTCACACAATTCCCCCAAACATCCGCAGTCTCCATCTCCCTCCCTCAACGAACTTCAGCGAATTCTTCGGATTCTGGGCACCTGCTCTGTTCCCTCACCCACACCCCGCTCCCTCGAGATTCGTTCAAAAAAGATTGCGAGGGCACTTGTACAAAGATATCTACGAAACCATTGGTCGCGAAACGTGCTTGCGCTATCACGATTTGTTGTGACCACCCTTCTTCCCCTTGCGCGAATGTGGACACCCTTGGGAATTCATACACGCGGTCATTGAAACCAGGCTGCTTGAAGTTGAAGAGTTAGGCTTTCAGAGGGGAGGTGAGGAGAGGAGACCGGTGAGCCTGTGCGAGATCGGGATTGGCTGCTGGGAGCGTCTGGTGAGTCGAACCAGTGCCATTGCCGCGGCGTGATTCTTTACGTCCTTCGACACCGCATCCCGCTTGACCCTCGTGCTTCCAGCAGCAACTTTCATCAAGCGAGTCCAAAGATTAGGACTCGAGTCCCAAACGTTGGAGCGGTTCTCTCGGAGACGCGGAGAGAGCGACAAAGAGATAGATCAGGCTGTGGTTCCACGGGATCCGTCTTGGGCCATCCGACCACGATCTCGCGACAAAGGTCTCGAGTGACTCAACTCGCCCAGTCGCCCGCCGTTCCCAATCTCTCGCTTCCTTCACACTTGTCCCGCCGCACTCAACGCTGCTCTTTTGCTCCTTTGTAAAAGACTTCTTGGGTCACACCGCTCTGTACGTGGCTCCTCGCGTTCCGCTTCGTCCTGCTCTTCTCGCCGCGATCTATAGATTCTAGCAAAATGGTTGCGAGCTTGTTCGTCGAGGCGGACGGCGCGCAACTGGAGGTGCTGCGACAGGCGACGTTCTGGGAGCGCATCTCCGTCGTGACGATGCTCGCGATAACTTTCACAAAAGAGCTGGTCGGGATATTCGGTAATGCGCCGTACGGGTTTCACGCCATGGTGATGTACTGGAGCGTGTTTTATGCTAGCAAGCATGGCTTAGAAGCTTTGCGGAGTAATGGCGGAAGTGGAGGCGGGGAACGGGATGCGGCGGAAGGGGAGATCGCGCGCGGTGAAGCGGGACCGCGGCTCGGCGGTCGGCGATTGGGATCCGGAAGATGCGGAGGCAGCTGGCGTCGACAGGTAGAACCAGCGGGGGGGTGAATAAGGGATGAACTTGGGCGGAAAGCGAAGAGGAATGAGGGGAGTAGGTTGTATAGTCGGAGGGAGAGGATAGGGGGAAAGGGAGGAGGAGTGGGGCATGGAGAAGGTTGTATAGTCGGAGGGGAGAGGACAGGGGGGAAGAGAGGAGGCTGCAAGGAGGGAAGGGAAAACAGAAAGTGACACCGCATCTAAGTGAGATGCTGTTTAAATGCTGTTGGTAAAAATTCTCCCTCCCCACTTGTTGAATCCGGTTATCCCTTTCCTTACTACCTACCTTTGTGCTGTTTGCTTTCCCCTTGCCTTGCTTCGCCTGATATGGTATGGCGCGGGGGCTGACGTGGCATGACGTGGATTTTTTATTTTCAGTGTGGAACTGGGCGTCGTCGATGGAGGCGATGCTGTCACATGGTCTACCACATGGCACGACATCCGCTATGGCCCGCGTACGCGCAACACGTACGTGGCGGGGGAGGGGATGACGTGGGATGTGACGGGATGACGAGGCATAGGGCGGGATGGCCTGGGATGTGTGAGTGAGCCGAAGTGGAGGGATGGGGATGGGGATGGGGATGGGGATGGGGATGGGGATGGTGATGGTGATGAGGTGGGGGATATCTTGGTGAAAATGTGATGGCATGGTATGGCATGGGCAATGCGCAAATGTCTGATTTGGATTCCCCATTCACAGGTTTTCCCAATTTCTTGATTTCTGTCGTGTGAGACGTCATTCAAGACAGTGACACCCTTATGACTTGTGTCCCTCCCTTGCCAACCACAGTCTTGACATCTACATGCCACCAATTCTGACTCTTGACAGCAGTGCAAGAGAAAGCAGCAGCAGCAGCAGCAGTGGCACTGGTGCTATTGTTGCTGGCAGCAGCGCTACTAACAGCAGCAGCAGCTGTAATGAAGGAAGCAAGGGGCGGCCGGTGTTGTTTTTTGTGCACGGAGGAGTGTGGGCGAGTGGTGAGAAGTGGATGTATTCTCCCCTTGCGATCCGATTCGCTTGGTCCGGAGCGGTGGTGGTTACCATTCAATACACTCTCTACCTCGAGGTAATTCAAATGTCACCCTCGGTTCCCTCCTAATCCCACCCCACCTCCCACCCCCATACCCCTCTCGTCCTCTCTATTCCATTCATGCGAGGCTCCCCCTCCCGCATCTTCCTTCTCTCAGGCTTCTCCCTTCGTTTCCCTCTCACCCCCCACGTAGGCTCTTGCGACAGAGCAAATAGAGGAAACGTCAGGGGCGCTCTCATGGGCCATGGACCACGTTCAAGATTATGGGGCCGACCCCTCACATGCTCTTCCCACCCATTCCACCTCATTTTCCCATTCCCCCCACGCCCTCTCTTCAGCATCTCTTCCCTCCAGGCCCTTGCCATAGACCAACCAAGTACAGGAAACATCAGCAGCGCTCTCATGGGCCACATTCTCGAGTATGGGGGTGACCCTTCTCGCATCTTCCCCTCATTTGTTCCCCCTCCTCCTCTTCTCCGCTGTTCACCCTGCTTCTGACCAACAAGCTCTTGCCATAGACCAAGTACATGAAACATCAGCAGCGCTCTCATGGGCAATGGACCACATTCACGAGTATGGGGGCAACCCCTCACGCATCTTCCTCACGGGCCACTCCTCAGGCGCCCACGTCTACTCCATGGTTGTCTGGCGCCGCTTCAGGTCAGCCCTCCGCCGCATGTTCCAGGCACATGGCAGGGATGTAGCATCAGCACCAACGGCTGTAGCAGAGGCTGACAGCAGCAGTGTCAGCAGCAGCGCCAGCAGGGAGGGAGAATCGCCACAGCCCGCCGTCAAAGGAGAGGATTTATGGTTCCTAGATGAGCAAGATATGCGGCAGCCCTACTGTTTCCTGGGCATGAGCGACGTGTATGATATAGCCCACCACCAGAGGCACGAGCAGTGCGGAGGAGTCTTTGCTCTCTCTGCAATGTCCCCTGCTATTGGCGGGCCGGCACGGTTTGTCTCATCCTCTCCTGCCCTGCTGTTTGACACTCTCGCGTCTGCTGCTGCTGATGCTGCCTCTGCTTCTGCAGGGGCTGTTGCTGCTGGTGCGGTTGCAGGACGTGATGGCGATGCTGTTGTTGGTGGTGCTTCTGCCGCTGCATCGTTCGGGACGTCATTTGACTGTCCAAAGAGTCCTCTCCTGGTTGTCACTGCTGTACCTACTACTGCTAATACCTCTGCACCTTCCGCCCCTTCTCCCCCTTCCACCTCTGCTATTGCTAGAAGCCGGGCGCTCGAGCAGCTAGCAGCAGTCAGTGCTGATGCTGCTGCCTCCCTCAGGCCCACCCTGCCACCCTCAAATCCGCGTCACCCCACTCATTTGCCACGTCAGCTGGTCCCAACGCCACGTCAGAGCATCCGGATGCCACGTCAGCAGGTGGTCCCCGTCCAGTGACCCTCTCGTCGAACGTTGAAAGTGCAATCTCCCACAGTCCATCACCCAGTGCAAAACAACCGTCATTTTCATCCTTGTCAGCAGGAGCAGCAACAACAGGAGCAGCAGCAACAGGAGCAGCAGCAGCAACAAGTATAAGGGACGAACCGCCAGACGAGCAGTCAGTAGGCTCTGCTGTTGTGGTAGCCAGAAGCACAGTGTCCAACCGGAAGTCGGAAGCAAGCTCTGCTGCAGGTGCTCTCAGTGGGTCAGGTGACAGCAGGAGTGCCACCTCAAGAGGGGGAAGTGCAACCTCAGTGGCAGACGCAGTCAACAGAGCGACATCAAAAGAAGCAGTGAAGCAGGCCCTTCGATCCCGCCTCCTCAACTCGTCACCTTTCAAGCAACAGGAAGGTGCCACACCAACTGATGCCACACAAACTGATGTCACACCAGCTGCGACCATGCTACCTCCAGCACCATCCCTGCCTGCATCTTCACCGCTGCAACCAGCCCTAGCTATCACCGTCGCTCCTCCCTTCACTGTCTCTACCTCCTCCTCCACAGCTGCAGCAGCAGTGGTGACAGAAGCTCCCACATGAGCACTGTCTCCCCCTGCAGGAAACGCCTCATCTCCTCCTTCCGATCAAGAAGCATCCTCCTCTGAAGAGGTGGACCCCCTCTCCTCTGACTGCTTCTCCTCCAGGTTTCTTGCCCCCTCTTCTCCCTCTCCTCTCGACATTCTCAGGCAGGAGCTGGGAGGGGGTGTTGCTGAAGCTGTTGTGGCTGCTCTTTGTCGGGCCAACTCAGCCTGCTCCCCTCCGCCCCCTCCTCTTCCTCTCTTTCTCCTTCCTCCTCTTTCCCCTCCTCGTCTTCATCCTCCCATCCCTCCTCCACCTCCTCCTCCTCTGCTTCTCCAGTTCCCTCTTCTCCCTCCCTCCCTTCCTCGACCCCTCTCCTCCCCATCATTATCCTTCAGTGCAGTACTGGTGATTATGTAGTTCCCCCCGAAACATCTCTCTCCCTCATCCGCTCACTTCACCACCTCAACTCCTTCCTTCTCCCCTCGCCTCCTCCACTCCTGGTCAAGCTGGGGGGAGAGGGGGGCAGATCGGTGGATGAAGAAATGGGGGGTAAAAGAACAGGGGAGGGAGCAGGAGGAGTGGGAGTGGGGATTCGAGCAAAGGCTATGGTTTATGACGACGCTGGTCATCCAGATTTTGCGTGCTGGGCTGTGAGAAGTGAGAGGAGAGGGATGAGGGATGGGGAGGGGAGTGGGGGAGAGGGGAGCGGTAATGGTGGAGTGAGGGGTGGTGTGAGTGATAGGGAGGTGGGGGAAGGAGGGAAGGAAGAGGAAGGGGAGTGGGAGGGAGGGATGTTGATGAGAAGCAAGAGCATGAGGAAACTGAGTCAACTGAGTCAACATAGTCAAGGAGGGAAGGAGGGAGATGGCAGGGTGGAGACCACGGATGGGGAGGAGAGAGAAGTGACGGGGCAGGTGCTATCCATTGGAGGTGCTTCGGATGAGATGGCTTGTGTGAGAGATAGCATTGAGGGTGCATTCATGTGTCGACATTTGTGTCTCAATCGCTTTGTGACACCTAAAAACAGCATAAACTGTATTGTGTCCCAAATGCGAGTCGCGTTTCAGTGACCAGTCCTGTATTTCTAATTGGTTAGCGTGAAACGCGCTGACGTCGCTGCCGAATTGCATCTGGACCCGTCACTTCGAAAAAATCGCACGCGACTCGAAATGCCCAACACGACCACATGCACTTGGACACCCCACAATGCCAATTTCGCGAGGGAAAAAATCCCGTGCATCTAAATCACACTCCCATTCGCCTGGTCACCCCTGTTACCCAATCAAATTTGCACAATTGTACATTTCGCATTGCCGCCTAGTGTCGCGATACACTGTTTTTGTGACCTGAGGTTGACAAAATGTGTCGACGCGACTCGGGAAAAAGGGCATTGAGATACTTGTGTCGACACAGGAATGTACCCTGATATCGTCATTGGGCGAGTGCCGTTGGAAGATTTGGTGTGGAAATAGTGTTGGGAGAAAATCCTTAAGAGGCCTCAAGTCACAGCACTCTGGATTGATTTCTTCATACAAATTTTTGTGTTGTTGTGGAGACACTAAAATATGAGGTTCTTACTTGTTTGATATAGTTTGAACCCTTATGGGTTGTCTTTGTTGATCTTATGGGTCCTGGGTTATTGACAATATGTTCTAATAAGTGGAAACCAAAGCCATATTACAGCTTGTATTCTACTGTATTGCTGCATGTGGGTGTGGGCCATATTTATCCTCCAACACCCCCAAAACTAGCACCTCCCGTGCAGGGCCTCAGATTCGTTTTGGCCTAGGCTGAATCGTCAGCCTTAGGAGTGAGCTGAAGGCTGATCAATCAGGGTAGCCTTGAAAAAAAAAGCTGAATTTTCAGTGTTTAGTTTAGTTAAATGGCTGATCATTCAGCCTTGCTTAAAAAGAAAGGCTGAACATAACTTCAAGCTTTCCTATAGCGCAACACAGTCATTCAATTTCAAAGTGTGGCATTGAGAAAAGGGCATGCGACGTGCTTCCAACAGTGCACACGATGTGCCTACAACTTCATACACGAAGATACCTTCTGTCGGCGACAACAGTGCGCGCGGCATGGTGAATCTGAGCGAATCTCCTGTGATTGGGCGAATTTCTGGTAAAACATGCTGTGTCAGAGCGAATTTCTTGTGATTGGGCGAATTTGTTGTGCTCTGACGGGGCGATTATCTTCTCTGTTGGGGCAAATTTGCTGTCTCAGGGCGAATTTGCTGAGTCAGGGCGAATCTGCAGTGACGAGTCAAGTAGAAACACTTGCATCCAGAAACCAGAAACTAGATTGTACATTCGTGCCATTTGATTGGCCAGGCAAGTTTTGGTAAAACATCCGATACGTCAGAGGGTTTCAACACTACACGAATCTCCACTAGTGGGATTTCAGCCTACATCCCCGTTACAACGCGGATCTGTCAGTTTACACCTCTAAAAAAACTCTGAAATATCAGCCCATACTAAGAAAAAAAGTCTGAAAAATCAGCCCATACAATACAAAAAAAGCTGACAAATCAGCCCCACTAAATCCCCACTAAACCTTACCTTTTTACCCCTAATCAGGCTTTTTTCGCTGACTTCTGAGGCCCTGCTCCCGTGCCAGTAACCTCAGCTCCAGCACCCCTAGAACTTGTACCTTAAGTGCCCGTGCCTCCAACACCAACACCCCCAAAGTCCACTGCACCATGTCGCGGTAGTGCTGAAGGCTCTTATGGTGACTGTGAGGACAATTGTGGGGAAGTGGATGGTACCTGACATTCTATCAAGGGGAGAGGGGTAGCGTGGGACACACCTGACGGGGCAGGATAAAGAGTGGGGGGGGGGCGGGTGTACCGGAGGAACGGGAGCAGGAGGAGTGGGGGCAAGGAAAAGGGGAGAGGGGGGGAACAAGGAGACTTTGGCAGGGGCACCGGGCGTATTAGGACATAGACTCATCAAACTGGACATCGCGAGAGTCGAGGAACCGGTGGAGGGGCGAGTGGTAAAATGTGTAGTCAGAGGAGCCCACCGAAAAACCAAGGAGGACACTGAGGAGGGCGCAAGACAAGAGCTTGTCCGCAGAGGGGTCGCGGACAAGTGCAAAGCAGCCCCAGACACGAAACTCCGATGCAACACCAGGGGACCCGGTCCAACTGGTCGGTGAAGCTCCTGGCCACGGGACACAAGGCTAGAATTTCAGCTGGTGGGCGGCGTAGCGAACCGTGTAGGGCCACAGAAAATGGGAAGCATGGGCATGGATCATGGAGGCACGGGCAATCTCTATGACCAAGCATATGCGGCGCCTAGCAACCCCATTCTGCTATGGGGACTCTGGAAGCGTCCAGGTCTGGGTGATGCCTTGCTCGCTATAGAATTTGGCAAGAATGCTGGAGCGAAACTTTCCCCCACGGCCAGAGTAAGGACAACTGACACGACAGATATGGGTGGTCTCAGTGGCTAGCAACCACCTGGTCAGGTTAAAATTCACGTCATACTTTTTTGCCAGGGGGAACACGGTGGTGTAGCGGGAGTAGTCTTCAACGACTCATGCCAAAGGCGAGGGGCGGGGCCCCGGACGTCCAAGTGGAGAGTCTAGAAGGGTGTAGTGGCCGGACGAAAGGAAGAGGAGTGAGGGGTGGCGCGCAGCCTACCCTCGACGCAGGGAGTGCATGGCGGCGCGGGCGAAAGAGGGAGTGACGCAAAGACGCGCGGTAGACTTGAGACAAGACGCTTGCTATACATGCTACGGAGGCATAGGAGGGTGGTATAACTGATGACTCTAGTCATGTCGGATCTGGTGATTTGCGTGTGCCTACCTTAAGACCTCGGCCTGTTGCTAGTGATCAGGCCTTGCGCTTCTAGTGTATGTGTATGTGTATGTGTATGTGAATGTGTAGTTACTAGCCCAGATGTACCTGCGGCTGACGTATTGCTCTCCTTCACACTGGACTCTAGCGTGTCTCAATGCTTGTTCTGTGACCACACCACTATCATCCTTCATTCTGCTCTAGTCCCAGTTGCCCTGGCTGATCCTACTTCTGGACCAGAAGTCGAAAAGAAATAGATATAGAATAAATATTGTAACCACGACGAGTTAGAATAGGCCAATGCAGAAGAGACGTGTCAGGCTCAAAACGCTCACGGTAGAGGTCATCGATGCAGGGGTAGCGACGGGATGAGGAGTGGTCAGGGCGCAAGCAGGTAGTGCAAGCACCAGGGCCAGCTGGGAATTGGTACTAGTAGGGGTTGATGTCGTGACCACCTCTGCGAGTCGCCCAGCTAGATTTACCATAGCTGGAACCATAAGGTCCCCACTGTTGGGAGTGCTGGTAGTGCCACTGCGGCTGGCCCTAGTACTGCAGAACTCTAGTGGACGCTATGGCACAAGCCAAAGGGGCGTGAAGGCTAGGCTAGAAGCCGGTCAAGAGGGTGGCGAATGAAGCTAGAATGCGAAGCCTACGAACACGAGGAACAACTAGGCTAGAAGCTCAAAACTCTCCCGGAGAGGTGACTGCGGCTGCCAGCTGCCTTGAGAAACGTCGATGACAGGAGGCGAGTGGGAGAGACAGCAGATACGTATGCAACTGCAGCTACCGGGTGCGGTTGAGTGCGGTCTAGCACGGTGGAGAGCGATCTAGAGCGGTCAGTAGCAATTAGGAACGGTCTAGTGATGGAGCACGTGCAGGAGCACGGGCAGGAGTGCGTAGCGAAGGCACATGAAGTTATTGCTGTTGCGCGTGGCTCCTGGTGTGTAGGCAGCTGTGGGTGCACGTATAGCTGCTGCTGCTCGCGTCTGCTCCTGCATGGCGGCGTGCATAGGGCTGTGCGCACAGGCAGTAGGGCAGGGCACAACATGTGACGGGGCGGGGCGCGGGTAGGGGCTGTAGTGGCGCTGGTGCTGCCGTCTTACTCACGCCACCCCTTCACCTTCTCCCCCCATCCCCGCCACCTCCCCCTCACAATAGCAGCCGCGGGAGAGGCGTGGCAGGGCGCGGGTGATGTTCCTGAAAGATTTCGACGGCCCAAACCCCAAGCACCTCCCACGCGGGTCTGCTCGCATGCTGGCAGGTGCGCATGCGCGTGGTCGGGCCACTAGGCGACGGGTAGATCGACGGGAGGGTGAAGGGGCTGGCGCTCCTGATGGTCGCGCTAGCATGCGCGCTGCGGTGCTGGTCACTAACACTTGCGCTTGCGCTGGTCGCTGTTGCATTCATCACTGTCAAAATGTTATAATGCTTATATTGTGTAGGCTGTAGTGGGGTAGCCCATAAGGGGTACAACCCAATTAGGGTTAGCACTTGTACTCAGTTCTATCTCAATTCAATCATTCTCGTTCAGTTTCTTGACATGGTATCAGAGCAAAGGTCAAAGGTTCGAATCCCAGTGTGTGCACTTCAGGCATCCCAGTGCGGGAGGGTATCAGAG